GCCTGCAGACTCAGTGGCGTTCCATAGGCCCCCCTGCCCCCAGCCGTCCCCCCATCTCGCGCTGCCTCCCAGTGGGCGCGGCCCTGGCCAGCCTGGCAGGGCGCAGGGAGCAGCCCAGCAAGGCAGCCACGCTCCGCGCCGCCCTCCCGCCCACGCCCTGTCTTTTCCACGCGAGGCCCCGCTGAGATTCTGTGGGAATGGTGTCGGCGGTGGCAGTGGGGAGGGGCGTGCCCGGGGGCCTGCCCGTGCTCCCCCGTGGACCAGCGGCTCCGCACTCCGGGGGTTCTGAAGCTCCCTTCACTCGTGCTCCTCGGGGATGCCAACTTGTCACTCCCCACTGCCTACCCGCCGTGGAAGGTGAAGCTCAAACCCACCCTTTGGAGAGGACGCGCCTGGGAGCCGAGAGAGGCTGTTTGCCTTGAGGTTAAACGGGTCCGAGCCCGAAGCCCGCTTCCGCCCCGGCTGCTGTGGGGCCGGGACACGTGAGCAGCCTTCGCCGAACTCAGCTCTGTCCTCTGGAAAAGAAGCGTCGTTGAGCTGACGGCACGCTCTGACGCCAAGGGCCTGGCCCACGAGAGGAGCGCGAGACCTGTCAGATCTTGGCCGGGACGGCGGGGCACCGCCGGGCTGCTTTGCCCTTAACCTCCGGCCTTGCTTCTTCTGCAGGGCTGGGAAGCCCACGGGCCTGGCCCTGATGCCGCACATAGATGCTTTCAAGCACTCTCTGCAGGAGAAGATGACGGAGATCGGGCTAAGAAATGGCTGGACATCTGATCACCGCAAAAAGAGCTTCCTGGCCCAGGAGGTAAGATCCTCACGGAGGGCGGAGGGCGGTGAGCGTGGCAGTGGCCGTCTCCCCCGCAGGACAGGGGCCGCCTGTCTCGTCCAGGGGCTGGACGAGGCTCGGGGCAGGTGCCGGGGTGGACGGCCTCGGGGTGCGGAGGGCTCGCCCGGCCCCCAGGCGCCGCTCCGGGCAGCTGTGTCCTCGGCGCCCAGGAAGCTCTTCAAAGAACTGAGATGCTCAGACACGTGAATCCCCAGCCTCTCTGCTGTGTTTGCCGCTCTTGTGAAACTTCATCCAAAGCAGCGAAGCTTTGGTCACTTTGCTCGCAGCTCGTGTTCCGGCCCGAGTCCTTACGACTCGCCCGGTCTGTGCTGGCCGCTGCTACCGGACACCGCACACCCGGCGGCTTAGAAACAGAAACTCATTTCTTCCAGTTCTGGAGGCTGGAAGCCCAGCGGCCGCGCCGACAGGGGTGGGCCTGGGGCCTGGCTCCAAGGCTCACGGCCTCGTCTCCAGGGCCTCAGCCCACTGGCAAGGGCTCCTTGCCCCATGCAGTCTCCAGCCACAGGCCCCTCCCACACCAGCCGGCGGTCAGCAGCTCAAAATATGAAGGGGGGCGGAGGGCACACAGCACTGCTGTGGAGACACAGCCGGGGTGCCTGGCCTCCCCCCACCTCGAAGACCCCGGCGCCTGCCTTCACCCCAGCAAGTGTGTGAGCGGTGGCTGGTGGGCCCCAGACGCTGAGGGTGCTTAAGCCCACACTCCTGCCTGTGGGGCTCC